CCGCCGCAGCGACCCACCAGCGCCAAGCCTAGCACCATGGCTTTCCAGGAATTCCATCTTGCTCTTTTCATTGTCTGCTGGCAGTCTCGAACTCGAAACAATTCGTCCCTCCGACGTCCGCCGACAATGGAATTTGCACGAGGCATGCTCGACGGCAAGGTCGACGATATGACAAGCTGCCCGATCGGTCACTGCATCAACCCACGAGGGGCCGGTTGCTGGCCCTGCCATCCATTCCACGCCTTGCTAACTGCATATTCTGGCCTCCTCAGCTCTGGATTGGCTCCTTTGCTCTTCAACCCATTGGCATGACCAGCTCCCCCTGGAGCTGTCGTGGCAGAAACGGCCCAACGAGGCCTTACCCCAAGACAAGACGAATGTCAATTCGAGAGGTGACAGGTAATGCGAGGTTGGCCGGAGTCGAGCCCGGGTGCCGGCTGAGATGCCCCGCCTTTGCAGATCGTGGCCATGGCCCATCGTCAAGTTGAAACAACAGGGGAGCTCCATCTCTACCACTCGGGGAATATGTTTCACCCTTTGGGATTGGCGTCTTTTGCTCTTCATGTTCTGACGATGCGATTGACAGGTCGGCACTGCTTCCACGTCGATGAGGCCATGTCTTTCTAAATAAGTGACCAGTAGGAACCGCCACTTCTTCGGCCTCGTCTTGGTGCCTTTGCTGTCCACCAGGTCCCTGTCACGGTGACGGCTCAGCTGTGGCCGACCCCTCTGGCCCAGGGGCTGTGAATCGGCTGACGCCCGACATCCCACCTGGGACCCTGGGCTCCCCCCTCCCCGCCATCTACCCCTGACTTGGGACGACGTGCCTCTTCTCGCCAGCACATAAATCCATCTGGCGCTTCTTGGCCGTCTGGTCACGTTGGACTCGGTGCCACGCCTCTCCCAGCCAGCCTATCCGCAGAGACCTTGTTGAAACGCATTGGGCGTGTTTGAGGAAACGGAAAAGGAGCCGATCACACCTCACGCAGGTACCCCGCCGAGCAACCACTCCTCCAACCCCCTCTCCCCAGTGTCCACCCTTGGCGTCGTCGCTGTGACTTACAAGTTACAACTACCTACCTACACCATCGCCGTCTCTCCTCCAAACACCTCCATCCTCCTCAACACACACACACACACACACGCACACCATGTCATCACGCCCATCCCTCTTCACGCGCGGCCTCTCGGGCCTGTCGCAGTCCTCCGACCCCAACTCCCCCAGCGTCGCCTCGCCCGCCGAGCAGCGCGACGACGCCAAGCGCAACATGCTCAAGGCGATGCGCCCGCTGCCGACCCAACACTACTGGAACGTGTGGTTCGACCGGCACCAGGCGCCGGCGCCCGGGGCCAAGGCCGGCGACGACGGCGAGTACCAGGTGCACCTGGAGCAGCTGGGCGAGCAGATCGAGAGCGTGCAGGACTTTTGGCGCTACAACAACAACACGCCCGTCGAGCAGATCAAGATGCGCGAGTCCATCTACCTGTTCAAGGCCGGCTTCAAGCCCATCTGGGAGGACCGCCGCAACATCCTGGGCGGGAGCTGGACCTTTCGCGTGCCCAAGAGCATCGGCCCCGACGTCTGGACGCGCGTGCAGCTGCTGGCCATTGGCGAGAAGCTGCAGAGCGTGCTGGATGATGGTATGCGCCCCCCTTCCCCGTCTAGTTCGGACGAAAGCTGACCCTACCAAGGCGACCAGATCTGCGGCGTCGGCCTCTCGGTCCGCTTCAACTCGCACCTCATCTCCATCTGGCACCGCGACTCGTCCATGAAAAAGTCAATCGACGGCCTGCTCGCCTGCGTGCTCGAGGAGCTGCCCGCCGAGCTGCGCCCCAAGCCCGACAACTACTTTTACAAGAAGCACTCGGACCACGCCGGCTTCAAGGTCCCGCCCGAGCTGCAGGCCGTGCTGGACTCGCAAAAGGCGCGCGAGGCCGCCGCGGCCAAGGTGGCGGCCGATGCCGCCGCCGCAGGCAAGATTGAGACGAATGCCGGGACGGCGCCGGATATTGTTGTTGATGCCGCTGCGGAGCGGTGATGCGGGACTGGAGGACAGGATTTTGGACAAGGAGGACTTACAGAACGTTGATCGGGCGGATACAGAAATGTTTAGGATGCATCTGGGCATGTCTGGCTAGATGGATGGATGATGGACGACGAGCATCTGACAGATCATGGTGATCTTTTTTGCATTATTTACGGCGTTGGACAGCGGACGGCGACTCCCATACTTTCGACGAATGCCAGGCAAGCCCCGACTCCCTGGCGAAAGTTGGAGGAATACAATTCAAGATTATCATTATCATGTCTCCACTCTCCCTTTGCCGAGTCTTTGGACTCTGAGACGAGTCTCCATGTTTCCGACTCTATGGTCGCCGTCTCCCAATATTAACAGAACCCCCATTCATAGCTTCGACCAGGAATTCGACAACAGAATGACCATCTCCTCGCAACCGCGGGCTCTCCCCTCGCATGCCGACCGTGGGTATATGGAGCCTCAACAAGACCTCCCCGGCCGAGCATCACCTCAGCCCAACCTTCCCCCCCTTCGCTCCCCCCAGTCACCTCCAAACCCCCGCCCTCCTCATCACCCCATCAAACTCATCCCTCCCCACCCCCTTCCCCACCCCCGCCCCCCCGTTCGCCTCGAGAATCATATCCCTCAACACCTCCTCGCTCACGTCCTCCGCCCGCAGCAGCGCCGCCACCCGCTTCAGCTGCCCCAGCGTTATCACCTTTTGCGCCCCTCCCCCGCCGCCCGCGCCGGCAAACAGCGCAAACGCCTCGTCCACCTCGGCCTCGTGCGCCGCGTCCGACGGCGGCTCGCGCGCCTGCAGCTTGAGCGCGCACACGCCCACGAACGACGGGTACGTCGCGAAGCCCTCGTCGTCGGGGTCGAGGATGGAGATGAAGTCGGCGAGTTCGGATTTGGAGGAGGGGGGGATGCCGAGGGCGCTGGGGGGGGGTGTTAGTTATGGTTGGGGGGTGTGGGGTGGGAGGGGGGAGTACATCATGGCGCGCCGGACGTCGGGGATGGGGATGACGCCTTCCTTTTCGCCGTCCATGGGCTCTGAGAAGAGGCTGAAGGCTTCGCGGATGTCGGTTTCCTCTTGCGCGGTGATGCCGTGCTCCTTGGCGAGCTTGGAGGGGCGCGCGGCGCGGGAGGTGCTGGCTTCGGCGGTGGCCGGTGGGGGTGGGCGGCGTTTGGGGGGCTGGGGGGGACAAAGGGGTTAGCTTGGGGGTTGGGTGGTGGTGTTTGGGGGGGGGTACCATTTTGTGTTGCCTGGCGGCAGTGCTGCCGGCCTGGGGAGGCGGTGTCAAGTGGTGATGATGCGCGGATGCGATGCGATGCGATGTCGCGTTTGGCTGCTGCTGCAGGGTTCGGGGGAGATGCGATGGGTGGGGGAGGAGGGTTGGGGTTTGGATTGGAGAGTGGGGTGGGGATGGATATGCGCCAATCCGGCGCCAGGTCACGTGGGGTGGGATTGATATAAATTTCGGCAGAAATTTTGCATTGCTCTCTTCTCACCTCAACATCACAGATTTCGCAACCATGCGAACAATCGACCTCGATGCGATCAGCAGAGGTCAATCGAAGCTGTCTCCTGCCGTCTGAGATCAGACTGTCATGCAGGAGCGCTTCTTCAAGGTATCGCAGTGGTGGCTGTCGCAAATGGCGATGCCGGACTCGCACTTTTCTCCTTTGCTGTCTTTCCTTTCCCTCCCCTCCCTCCCCACACCAGCTTCAACATTTTGCTAGAGCTTGCCGTCTCCAACCACCAGGGCGAATGCAAGTGTGGACAATGAAGCAAGATTGAAACAACACTCCTGTCATACCCAAAAGGATGACACGAGTCCGACAAGCTGCAAATCACCGTTTCTCTTTCGAGGCTCGGTGGCGTGGTTTCCGGAGACAGACCGAATGGACACATCTCTTGTGTTTTGCAACGAGAATTGATGAGAGCAGCGTTCGAGGCTCCAATCCCCGTGTCCCTTGTGTTCCGAGTCCATGCGTTGATGAAATTTAGACTGGAGGAAGTGACGGCCGATGGCGCTCAGGGTGTTTGAGGGAGGGACGAGTGCAGTGGTAGCTCCTCTTGGAACCTGGTCGCTCAACTCCGTAAGCTCGTGACATTCCTCGCCAAGATGCAAACGAGGTCAATATACCGGCGCGGAGCGATTCGACCACACCTACCGATGCCTCTCCTTAAGTCATCCCAGCAGATATTCTACTGAGCTTACCTGGAATGCCGTGCTTCCACGAGATACAGTCATAGGCGACCCTCTGCCTCGATACCCGCCCCTTCAACACCCTCATCGTTCCAAGTGCATCTTCAAGGCAAAGCAGCATCAAGGCTCTCTGCCACTTGGATAACAAGACGCCTTGGACCATTGGGCTGTTCAGCGGGCGCCAGCGGGCGATGGGAATGTTGGAAGGGGGTAGGTGCGATCTTGGTGATATAGGGCAAGAGCTGGAGAGGTTGGGATATGGACAGCGGCTTCATCCACAACATACGTCCCGTCTGCTCTCCTTGAGAGAAGGCAGTGGGTCGGTGGTGGCCAGCTAATTCCTGGTGCTGCCTGTCTTTTCCTGTCATGTTGTCTCTTGTGTCAAGAGGCGTCGAGGCGTCGACACCAAGGCGGAATCGTCAAGGGGGTGGGCGGCATCGTGGTGCCGGATGCTGGCAGCTTGACATCGAGGAGCTCCCGCCATCAGCGAGCTGCTGGACAAGAAGGTAAGATTCCAGCGACGAGGCTGCATTGGGTCTCATGTGTCCAGGTCAGTGCAAATTGTGAGTTTCTTCGATACCCGATTCTCCCTCAATTATCTTGGTCGTTGGGAGCCCACGACGAGCAGCCCATGAAAATGTCGAACGCGGGAGCCGTCCCCCAGACACGAAGCCAACGCCCTTGAAATTCCCTCTTGCAGATGTCGTGCCACGAGCAAAAAAAGAACATGCCCATCCCATCTTCCAGTGAAGGGTGGGCAGCAAAAATCTGACAAGAGCGAGATTCGAACTCGCGCCGGATTTCTCCGACCAGGAAACACTCTGGGATAGAATGCGAAATTCAGGTGGACCTGAACCTGGCGCCTTAGACCGCTCGGCCATCTTGCCCGCTGTTGGTTGGACTGCATGCGCGGAACTGGAGTACATGGAGGGTCGCATGCATGTTGCCGGCGTGCGGTGAAAGGGGTGCGCAACCCCTTTTGACTTGGGGGTTTTTTTTTCTCTTGGGGTGGGATTTACAAATGGTGGGATGGAAGGGCACGGAAGCCGCAGGTGGTCCTTTTGCTCGGCAATTTGTTGCGCCCTCCAGGCGGAGTGTTGGCTTCGTCTTCATGCTTGAGCTGGGAACAGACGGGTAGACTCGCAGCACTTCGTCTTCTCTGTTGCCGGCTGGGTTGACCCGGGAGATCGAGGCAGCCGGAAGACCAGGAAATTTGTTGGGCGATGAAATCCCTCACTAGGGAAATTCAGGGAAAATGAGAGAGTGAAGATTGAGCGAGCCAAGATATATTCTACACCGAATAGTTCCCAGCGACTGGACGGCGTCTGATCTGACTGACATCCTCGGTTTATTTTCACCGGGCCGCCGGTAGACATCCATATACAGGCAGTTCCGAGTCCTGCCAGGTTGAATAGCATCTGCTGTCTGTCTGACAGTACCCTCCCCGCCCTAGATGGCATGCCATCCAAGCCACCCAGCCCTCAACCCGGCTCCTCGACCACCCAGCGACGCTCCAACTCATGTCCCATCAAAGATTTGATGTCTTTTGTACCGGAGCTTCCCTGTAAACACGAAGAGCGCGCGCGCAAAAGACAATCAACATCAACCGCTCCAATTCTGACTTTGACTTCCCCCCCAGCTCACCACCTCCGCTCCCGCCAGTCACTCCACCCCCATCCCCATCCCCATCCCATAGACCTGAAATCGCACTCACTTGAAACTATTCTTCATCTCCCTCAACTTCGTCATGATGGCAACCGGATCCGTCTCGCCTGTAGCCTTTTGGATCTCGGGGTCCTGTTCATCGTCAGCGCCTACCCCCTCCCTCACACCAAACCACGTAGCACTAACCTGCGGCCGCATAAACACATTATGCTTCTTCTCATCGCCAATCGTAAACCGTCCCTGCGTCTCCTTATTCTCCGCGGCAAACGCCTCCAAATTCTTCACCGCCTCACTCTTCAGCACCGACAGCCCAAACCGAACATTGGACTTTGTATACTCATGCCCAGGCTACACCCATCAGCACCACCACCCCAACCAACAGGGAAGAGAAGAACTCACAAAAACCTTGGTATCATCCGGCAACGCCCCCAACACGACATTCAGCGCCCTGTGCATCTCCTCGCCGGTGCCCTCGAAAAACTTGCCACACCCTTTCCGGATTCAGCATCTCCTCGCAGGCAAATAGAACGCAGGAGGGACGGACTCACCCCCGTGGAACAGCGTGTCCCCGGTAAACACGACCTTGTCGTCGCCGTCCTGCATAAAGTAGCAGATGCTGTCCTGCGTGTGGCACGGCGTGTGCAGCGCCTTGACGGCGATGCTGCCGATCTTGAAGGTGTCGCCGTGCGCGGGCGTCTTGGTCACTTTTTGGCAGTCCTTGCCGCCGATGATGTCGAGGTTGTTGCCGAGGGTGGTGAGCTGGTTGATGTGTTAATGGGAAGTCAGTGTGACGGGATGGGGGTCTTGCGAGTTCGGTGTTGCCTCCGGCGTGGTCCCAGTGGCTGGGTGGGGGTTAGTTGGGAGGGGGTGGGAAAGGGGGTGAAGGACGCACTGGTGGGTGTTGACGATGGCGGTCAGGTTGATGGAGCCATCGTCAATGGCCTTTTTGAGAACGGGGGCGACTCTGAGGGGGGTTAGTTTGGGTGTTGGGGAGAGGGGGGGGCGGACGTACTCGGACGGATGAGCCGGGTCGATGATGACGGCGTCCTTGGTCTTGTCGTCGACGACGAGGTAGGCGTAGTTGTCACTACTGCCCACCCCTATTCATGACAACGTCAGATCTGGGAGGGTGACTGGACTCGAAGTACGGGGGGGCATACACATGGGGATCGATTGGATGCGCATTGTTCGGCGGGTGATGAGCTGCACGCCGAGTTAGTTCGCCTGGATTTGGTGAAAGTGATGGAGCTGACGATCATACTGGTGTGGCTAGAAATCGAATCTGTCGCGGTACTAGAGCCCTGTTGCGAGTGAGGACGTTCATGGATACGACAAGTGAAGCCCCTCAGTGAAGACGGGATGCAGTGAGACGGCGTCGCGGGTCACGATAACCGTCGCTGGTTCGCTGCTGGAGGTGGTGGATGATTACCGGCGATGACGTTATTGCGGCCATTGGGCAACCGGGCCTCTGATCCACAAGGGTCACATGACCACCCTCGAGGCCCCCTTTCTTCCTCCATCTAGGTGTCTATCTAAACAACACCAATCGGCTTGGGCACCCACGTCTCCTCATCATACAGAGACCAGCCAGGCAACACCTCCTTCATCTCCACCTCGCCCTCGCCCTCCTTTCCCCCCCCTGCTTCTATCCCCTTCAACACCTCCCACGCCCTCCCCATCTCCGCCCTCAGCATTTCCACATCCCTCACCCCTCCCTCTGCCTTTCCCTCGTCCATCTTCTCCCCTTCTTCTGCCTTCTCCCTCTCCCCCTCCATCAAAACCCTCACCAGCCCCAACGCCCTCCTCAACGTCCCCGCATCCCTCGCCCCCTCCACAATCCCATCCAAGCACCGCAACACCTCCCCCTCCCCAAACCTCTCCACCGCCTCCCTCACCCCCCTCACCCTCTCCCCCTCCTCCTCCACATCCACCCACTCCCCCACCACCTTCCTACACTCCCCATCCCCATCCCCCACCACCACCTCCCCTCCCCCCTTCCCACCACCATCCCCCATGCCCTCCCCCTCCTCAAGCCCCCTCCAATAATACCCCCAAATCCACTCCAACCCCCCCCTCGCCGCCCCCCTCAACCTCACCAAACTCGGCAGCGCCTCATGCGTCGCCTGGTGCCTCAACTCGACAAACGCCGCCGGCAACCCCACGCTCCTCGCCAGCCCGTACATGCTCATCTTCTTCGCGCGGTCCTGGTGCGAGTCCAGCAGGCCCGTGACGAAGCGGCTGAAGGCGGCGGCGTAGGCGGCGCGGACGGCGTAGCTCCCCCCACTGCTACCGTCGGGGACGTCGGCGAGGATGGCGGCCGTGAGGAGCGCGGTGGACTCGACGAGGTGCGGGCAGCCGGTGCGGTGCATCCAGGTGGCGACGCGGGCGACGGCGAGGGATTTTTGGGTTTCCGGAGAGGTTGTTGTTGGGGGGGAGGGGGAGGGGGGGTGGTGGTCGGGGTAGAATTGGGAGCGGATGGTGAGGAGGTCGTGGCGGGAGCGCCAGGGGGTGAAGATGTATTGCACCATTGACGGCGATTTTATGGGGGGTTGTTTGGTAGGGGGTTTGGGTATGCGCTGAGGTGGGTTTGAGTGATGTGCGTATTTCACTGCTGTTGGTTTGGTTGTGGTGGTTGGGTGTTGAAGTTGAAGGGTGCAAAGGTGAGGTTCAGTGAGATGCACCGCAGTGAAAATGAAATTTTACGGGCCGCGACAACTTCATCCCATCAACTCAAAATTTGCACTCACGCGACGCGACCCAATCCGCCCTTTACACCAGCTCCACGACACTAAGTGCTCCACAAGATCGCCCAATTCCAGCAGCACACTATCATCAGAGACCGAAGGATTGTTCATTACTGCGTGGACTTTTCATTTTCACCATCTAGTGGTCTACCCAGCTCCGTTTTCCTGTCCCATCTATCCTCTACCGCTGACTTACGAGATGGTCTTCTCCTTCATGGTAATGCCATACTTCTCCTCGAGCTCCTTCATCAGCGGCTCCGTGATATCCGTGCTCATGGGCGCGAGGATGCCCTTGGCGCTGATGCGGCCGTCGAGCACCTGCTTGACGGCCACGCCGCACGGCACGCCCACCAGCTTGGCCATGGCCGAGTAGCCCTTGGGGTCGCCGTACTCGCACAGCGTCGACGTGCGCGTCTCGAGCGACCCGTCGGCGTGCTGGATGCCAAACTTGTGCTGCAGCATGACAAAGTCGCGCTCGCCCTCCTCGAATTCCATCTTGCGCTCGAGCGTCGCGCACAGCGTGTCGAGCGGCGTGCCCTTGGGCGTGATGGGCTCGTCCGAGAACAGCCCGATCCACCGCAGCCCGCTGATGATGCGCTGCTTGTCCTCGTCCGACTCGAACGACGCCTTGGCGAGGATGGCCGCCTCGAGGTCCGCCGTGCTCGACGACGCGGCGCCGATGACCTCCTTGGTCGCCTCCTTCCACGGGCCCGCGCGCGTCAGCACGTCGAGCGTCGTCTCCTCGAGGAAGCCAATGTCGACGAGCACCTTGATGAACTGCGGGAAGCCCTGGTACCGCAGGGTGCCGCGGATGATGGTCTGCGCCTCGGGGATGTTGTAGCGCTCCTTGTAGGGCGTCGAGTCGCGGTTGGGGTAGGCGACAAAGGCGTAGCCGGGGTAGATGAAGTAGGGCTTGGCCGTCTTCATCAGGTCCTTGCCCGTCACCTCGACCACCTTGCCGTCCTGCCACCAGCGGCCGGCGTTGCGCAGGGCCAGCAGCACGCCGCGCGACGACCACGAGAACTTGTAGCCGAGCGGGTTGTCCGAGTCCTCGGGCGCCGGCAGGCCGCCGCAGTACGAGAGGAAGCTGAGGATCTTGCCGCCGGCGCGGTGCACCTCGTCAATCGTCTTGATGGCGTACAGGTGGTCGATGCCGGGGTCGAGGCCGATCTCGTTCATGACCGTGATGCCGGCCGCCTTGGCCTCGGCGTCGAGCTCCAGCATGGCCGGCGACACGTAGCTGGTCGTCACGACATTCTTCTTGTTGCGGATGGCCGACTTGATGACGGTCGCGTGGAACGTGTAGGGGATCAGGCTGATGACGAGGTCGTGCTCGGCCACCTGCGCGTCGAGCGCCTTGTCGTCGGTCACGTCGAGCGAGATGGGGTGCGCGTTCTTGACGCCCTCGGAGAGCTTCTGGGCGCTGAGCGTGGTGCGGCAGGCTGGGTGCGTTAGGTCTCTGCCACTGTCAGGTCAGG